CCTGGTCCTCACTTTGCTACAAACTAGTTTGTTTTAGAGGTGTGATGTGAACTAAGTTTAGTTAAATTTAGGGTTAGACCAGTGATGGTTAATGTTAGGGTTAAAGGGGCATTATTGAAGTTTGACAGACAAAACATGTATAGAAATAATACATTTCTTCTTCATACATTCTCCTGCAATGCCCTGGTCCTGTAGAATGAGCCCTGGCATTTTTACTGTGATTGCCTGTTTTTCTGTAAAATCACAGAAAAAGACAGTTGCTCGGGTCGAGCAGGCTGCTTCATGCGCGTTCACGCTCAAGCATAGCCCGTAGCATTTGCTATCCGTAGCTTTAGCAGCAGAGAGTGAGGTAGTGCCAACTCAGCGACTTTGTCGCTGTTCCTAACGCCTAGTGATGAACCTAGCTACATTTCTGAGGACCCTTAGCTTCTTTCTGTAGAACTTTCTTCTAGATATTTTCTGCAAATTAGCAACAAAATAGCCATTTTTGCTTCAAACCATTCTTTGGTTTGACGGTGTTTCAGGTGTCATCAAGGATATAAAAGTTACAGACACTGTGAAAGTTACTAGAGTGTAGCTCACCTTGTAAGTCCCATGCAGAAGACCTGGGTTTGATTGTGGATGTGAACATAATTTATATAGAGATTCTTTTTTACATTAATGGTATATTTTTTTACAGTAAGATGCCCAAATTTTTATTTGAGACTCGCCGAACAGCATTGCATTCACAGATAAAAAAGATGTGGGTTCAACTTTCATTTTGGAACAATTTTTCAAGCAAGTGAAGGGAATGATCTGAGCATGCAGGACTGACCCATCATAAACCTTTGTCGGCTGTGCTGAAGAGAAAGGTACAGAACCAAATTATTTAATTAATTAGCTGCGCGTTCTCCTGTCCTCTGTCCTCCGGGCCACACACACACACACCCACACACACACACACACACACACACACACACACACACACACACACACACACACACACACACACACACACACACACAAAGGACTGTCTCAGCTGTTATATTCGTTAAGGAGTGTGCACGTACAGCACGTGCGCCTCGTGCACGAGCCTCCTATTGAAGCTGCCGTTACACTTTTGGCCTGAGGGGGCAATCGCGAGCATAAAAATTCTAAAGTCCGTAAAGTCCCTTTAAGCATAATGCAGTCTCTAGAGTCAGTGGATGGTCCTCACAAGTATAGCAACACAAATGTGCTTGTGTGTTTGTATGTGTGTGTTCATGTGTGTGTGAGCACGCATGCGTGTGTCTCTGCATGTGTATGAGCATGCATGATTGTTTGTGTGTATGTGCGCATGTGGGCATGCATGTGTGTGTGTGTGTGTGTGTGTGTGTTGTTGAAGCAAAAGAAAATGCCACTTTGACAGAAATGCCACAGGTGTATGTCTCCGTTCCTTTGATGTCGGCCGCAGCAGTTATCTGTTCAGAGGTTTGTTACTGAGAGAAAATCTAAAAATGTAGGATTTTTAGTGTAGTGAGATTATTTTCCTTGTCTGACACTCAAATAGTAATTTGACTGGTTGAATTTGTGTAAAATAACTTCTAATCATGATTGTTTAATATTTCATAGTTCTACATGCAGCTCCAAAATTAGCAGCGCAATGCTAAGCCACAGGGTTCATCTGGTTTCTCTTATTATTTTCAATTAAAATCCTTTTGTTATTTATTTTACCCTCCCACAGAAATAATTCACTTAAATAACCAGTGAATAAATAATCCATCTCCACATGGTTTATTTGCTTCATTGTGCTCGATTAAGATCAAATGATTCATTCAAAGGGTTGTAATAATAACGCTCTCTGTGATCATATGAGCTTGAGTTTATTTAGATAACAGAATAACTGAATTAGCAACATTTTATTGGTCTTTACTGGTGTCCGTTTGTGAACTGATCTCGTACTGTATCTAAATTAAATAAGAACGCCTGCAGTTACATCTACGATCTAGTCGGCTGATAGTGTATTTTTTTTTCTTTGCTTCATAATTAAACCTTATATGAAATTCTGTAAAATAAAGAGAGAAATATTGGTTAAAAAGGTTATTACTTGCAAGAAAAAGTATTTTTATGGTATTGGAAGCGTCACACCATAGTGCAGCTTTCAATTCAACTGGGGTCACAGGGGTCCCCCTCTCTCCCATTGTCAGGTCTAGCCTCAAGGCTGCCACATTCAGACTCGTCGTTCTGCGTCAGCTCTCCCTCTTCCCCCGCAGCCAGCGGCACCATTCTCTTACAACAATCCACTGGAAGTCTATATATTCATTTGGTCTTGTTGTTGCTGGCTTATTGGCCCCAGCAATGGAAGACGGAGGTGGCATAGTGCAAATTAGTGACAGATCTGTTAAGCGTGACCTTAAACAAACCCTTGGCCTTGTTTAATTGGCAGTACTGAAGCGGACTAATTATATAAATCTACTGGTAATGAGATCTTGGCTTATTGTGAAAAACAAGATAATGTGAGAAAATGAACATGAATGAGGTTGGAGCTTTTCCACCTCTTATGATATGACATCACACAAATGAATGCTTCTCTCTGTTGTTCTTGCTCTGTTTTTTGGGCTGATTTGAGTTTTATTCTTCTAAAATTGACATTTTTTATTGTGCCCAATGAAGTCCGTCTCCGAGACAAAATGCCAGTTTTATAGCCGTGTGTCCTGCTACGAAGGTTTTCGACTGCTCTTTGTTCTGGCCGAAAACAGGAAGTAGCACTAAAATCAGACAGATAAAAATAAAGTATGGTTAAAGTCATCAAATATTGAGAAGGAAATGATGCCAGTGAGTTGAAAAAAAAAGTTACCTGAACTGTTGCAGATAATTACAAATAACCACAGTTGACTAAAAGATAAGACTTTCTACATGTCTGATTGAGAGAAATACAATTTGTAATTTGCGATGATAATTAGCTTCCAGGGTGAAAATGTTCCATACAAACATCCACAGATCAGTCAACAGGAATAAAATGTCCTTAAGGACACCAAAACAACATAAAAGCTACAATCCAGCTTCTCCTTTTAACTGATTGTTGAATGTGCGGCAAATGGAAACAGATCAATTAATTATTAAAGACCAAATTTTCATTTCAAGATAACTCTCCTGATATCTCAGAGCACTAAAAAGTAATGACGGATCAGCTGATGTGTACGATGCTCTCATTCCACCCTGCAGCTTCCTGGGCCTTTGTGCACTTCACCAGACAAGCTGAACCCAGTATGGCATCTAAATAAATGATCAGCAGGCAGCACTTGATGAAAGATGGCAAAATTAAATAAAACAACAGTGTCAAATAAAAAATATTTATCAGTTAAGATGGGAAGACAGATTAATGAGGTTGAAACGTTTAAATACGGTTTAAAATAAATTCATACTGAATGCAGCCGGAAAGGCTTACTGGGCTGTGACTGTTGGCGTTCAGTTGGAGACAAAATTATTAGGAAAACACTCACATTTTCAGTTGCAATCGCCTTGAAATGGCATATTTTAGCTAAACATTTTATAGGGCATGTGTCACAAATAGCAAACTCTTGTGCAAATTTTCATCACAATTGCAGTTTAATCACCAGTTGGTTTATTTGTGTATAAATTGCCTTTCATTTCTCACACTTTCAGTTTTACAAAAAACAAACTGAGAAGGATGTAAGATACCTCAGACAACACTTTGTGCATTAAGGGGAAAAAAAGTTTGGTCTTTGGAAGATTTTCAAAATTTAACTAAAGCCAAATCAAGGCCCAACAAATCACACGAGGAAAATAGGAAGCCTTAAAAATCTTTTGAGACTTTCTGGAGGTTCCCTCGTGAATGCTATTCATGATTGGTCGCCAACCGTCTCAGGCCATGTACATGTAGCCAGGTGTCCCACAATACATTTTACTACGCAAAAGTTATGATGTACGCCACAATTCTTTCAAAAACTGAGACCAAAGTGAAGATTTGCAAAATCTTAGTTGTCAGCATTTCCTTGTGGACGTAAATAACCGGACCTGCGACATAAATACTCTGACATCACGTGTGATCTGTGTTTACACTCTCTGTTTTTACAACCTCAGGTACTGCTCTACGTAGAAGACCACATGTGAAAGACGATGTTAAAAAAAAGCTTTTTGCCTGCCACCTAGTTTTTCCCTGTACATGGAATGTTTTTCAGCAAAGCAAATAATTTGGTGAACTACTGCCACCTACAGGCTCGGCATGCTTATGACTGTACTTCCCAAAATGCACTGGAGTTTTTGCCGAAAACGAGGGGGTGTTGACCCTAGTTATTTTCCTAGGTGAGTGGTGAATGAGAGGGTTTCATAAAAACCCGGCTGTATGTGTATATGACCTCATTTACCATTTAGCAGCAGAGTGACCATCAACTAAAAAAATCATCGTGATCCAACTTTTATGTTTTCAGTCATTTTTCCCCGTGTCCTGTTCAGCTGTAAAGCAATCAAACGTTTCGAAGAGTTCTGAAGAATATTTTTACAGTACAGCTTCAGCTACAATGCCTTGCCTGATGCCAAAACTTAATTAGAAATATTTTTGGTTGTCTTAAATCCCAACGGACATGGAGAATGAAATGAAAGAGAAAGGGGGAGAAGAAAGAAATAGTTCACAAAAATAAACAAAGAGGATGTAGAAGAATCTGCTTCTAGACCTGCAGAAAAAGAGACAAAAAAGGACACACACAAAACTTCAACACAGCCAAAATGCGCCAACCACATGAGGCTATATAACAGTAACAGTTTTCGCTGAAAAGCACACGGTAATAATTCATAGTGTATTTAGTGCCAAGCACAGCCCTAGGTCATGTGTCAAAAATGCCCAAGTCCATACTTGTGAGAGCGTCATGTTTTTAGCATTTGGATGAACATGACAGATTATTATCAAATAATGCAAAAGAAACAAAACAAAACAATAAAAAACCACCAGCTTTGTAAATTATGTGTTTTGCAACGTTCCACACAAAAACACATCCAAACATTGTATTTTTCTTCTTTTTCAGGTTATTTACATGAATTCAACATCAGCTAACCAGTGATCGCTGGGAGCTGGGGATCAAGTCTTTCAGTTTTTGTAAGTATCCATTTGCCGCCTCAGCTGTCTCTGTGTTGCAGCATGTCTCCCACACCCCTGCTGACTTTCGCCCACACAGAACACCTGCATTAAATGAGGTGGACAATTGGATGGGCTTACAATGCATGCACAATTAAACAGTTTCAGGCACAAAGTTACTGGCACCTTTTGAAAATATTAGACTAGTTGTATTTTACTTTTTTGGTTCAAAATTTTTCCTGTTTTTGCATTACTATTTCTTGTTTGTCGTATGATTTGATGTGTTTTTTTTTGTAAGGTATTTTTTAACCAGTACCTACATTTAAACATAATAAAAAAAAGTGTGCTCACTTCTTGTTCACTGAAACATCAATTTAAGAGGTTTACCCGAAAATTTCAAAGCTGCCTGATATTCCAGTTGCCATGGAATGTGGGATTATACTTTAAAACTACTGAATACGCCATGACCCTCTCAGCCTAAATATTACTCCGACACTCTTTGTGCAGCTGCGGCTTGAGCAGAACCAGTAATGAAAATATATCTATGATATTAAACAAATAAAAGGGTGAGGAACTTAGTTGATATTATTCTATTCTTCCAAATGTCATTGGTGATGCCGCGGGAATTATATTAATGTGACTGGCAAGCTCTTCAATAACAGCTGAGCGGCGTCTCCCTGAACTCAAAGTTCACGGCCATTTACCATTGTTTGATCATCTTGCATCACGTACCACGATGTCTTCTGCTCAGATGGATGTGCACCTGCCAGCCAGCGAGCCCTTTCTGAGTAGACATTGTAAACATAAATATATATTAGAAAGAATGAAGCATGCGTTCCCATATTAGATGAGGTAAATTCCAATTGAGAATTGGGGTTTTAGGGTTTACAGGTTACAGCGTTTCAAGCAAACGTTGGATTTATCAAATGGCCAATAAGAGTTAGTGACAAATACTAAAGTTCTTGATCTATCTTTGTCACCTGTCAGTTTTGTTACAGAAGCCTACTTTAGCACAAGGCCTCAGTGGGCTAGCTGTGGTTGAGTCCTGCTCACGTGTATCTGTAACCAAGTACAATCAATAACCAGAGTATTTCTGACTCGCAGGTTTAATTAATCTCCAAATATGACAGGAAGTAATTGAGTTTGTGTTGCTTCTATAGCACGCTTAATTACATTCATTCAGTCCCCATCTGGAGACACCTGAGAATGTGTTGAACCGTCTGAATGGATACACTCTTTTGTTAATGTGCCATTTATCTAATAAGCCGCAGCCACACAGTCTCACAGCTTTTCAGCTCGGTATTGATGGAGCCACTGAAGGGATGTGGGGAGCCATTTTGCTAGAAATTAAATAAACAGCACTTCATCGTAAAATGAAAATGAATAACCTCTGAATGGTTGATCTCGGTGTGTTATTCAACAAATGAGCCTCTTCAGTCCACTGACCCTTCAATGATTGTGGTCAACACGCCCAACAGAGATTGCTTGACTGCCTAACAATGATTTCAGTTTCATCAACCTCAATTACTCCAGTGGATCGCCAAGTTAAACTGGGCATCGATGCCCCTAGAAGTGATTGTGCATCGGATCTATTTGTCTTTGCAGTGGATCATATTCGGAATTACTTGTGATAAACTTTGAGTGTTTTATTGTCGTTACTTCAGTAGACCTTAAGAGTGAAAAGCTACTACGTATTTTTCATTCGTCCTCCTTGTCGTTTTCCTACTGTACCCCCCTCAAAAACACGGGAGCAGCAAGGATGCTGTTAATCTTCTCGCACCACAGCTGTAGAATGTAAAGCATAACTAAAAGTCTGGTAAAACAAATTAACGATTTCAACCAAGAGCTTCTCGCCCAAAACACCATGAATCGTCTCCAACCGATAATGTACCTCGACCCCGGAGTGTGAAATCCCTGTTGCGTTCAGAGTAGCCAGTTAATTGATTCGCAAATTATTGAAAGTTTGTGGTGCCCAGGGGAGCGCTGCGCTCTAATGACAGCCCATTTCAAGAAAGCTGCAAAAAAACAGAAAACCTCCGGAGGCCAGATTGCGTTGCTTTGTATTGCTAAACCATCATGATCATCGGAACATGCAAGATGCAAAATAATGTCCTATATGTTGTTGATTGAAGCAATACACACACCCTTTTATTCATACATCTTATACAATTAGTTGCCTTTTAATCTGCTTTTGTTGGACTTTAGTTTTTTATTATCATAGTTTTGTTTCTGGAACAAATTATTGTCTTAATAAAAACAATATTAACGAATAAATTAATTTTTCAGTAAATTCTTGTTATTTATACACTTTGTGACTGAAATGTCCAGTAAAGTCTAATAAGGAGTAGAGCTGCATTGACACTTGAATGAAACTCTGTAACAGATGGAATTGTTTGGGTGTCTACAAAGAAATCTAACTTAGAATAAAAACTAAAGTTTTAAATGAAGGTGCTCTAAGTTTGCAAGCAACACCTGTGCAGATCAGTCTCATCTTCAGGTGTACACACCACGCATTTTATTCATTCCAGTAGGAGATGTAAGACCTGTGTGTTAATATCAAGGAGCCTCTAATCTCGACCCATTAGCAGACGCTGTCATTCAGACACACGGTGTTGGCCTGATTTAAATAAAATGAAATGAAGATAGTTGTTTCTGCTCCCTTGGTTTCACTCATTGCCATAAACATATGCTCCGTGCCCGCTTCTTTCCATCTTATTTATGACTTTAATTTGTTGTGTGGGCTGCACAAGAAATCAAATTTAATCCAATCCTCCCAGGGACCCTGTCATATAATAACATGGTAATTTCTGTGTATCCTTTTGAAAAATGAGGAAATTAATTCTTCCTGACATGTTCTAATTATTCCAGTGTGAACAGCGGATGGGATCCCCCCCCTCTTCCCCCCTACCTCCCACCCCCCGGCTCCCTAAGTGTCAGTTGCCGACGGGTGGCGAGGTGCTAATGCTGACCAGCAGCGCGTTTAATTTGAAACATGAGCAGACACCTTTCAACACACCTTCCTAATGTTGGAGTGGCTCACACAAATTAATTCACTACTCATCTGGTACCTCTGGCTGGAATAGGTGTGTCTGTGTGTGTGTGTAAGCATGCTCTCTGTGCTGTGTGTGTGTGCAAGTATAGGAAGTGCAAAGTTTACATTAGTAAACATAAGGTGTGTGAATGCATGCATTCTTCACAAAGTGCGTATGCATTCTGTCGTTTGGTGTTTGCTGGACCAAGCATCACCGTTTCTTTGTAACGGTCTGAGTGTTGAGTTGGTGTAAAACTGAGACGCTGGCGTTTTTTCTGCACCGCATCTCCTCACAAACAGATGTATTTTATTCAAACTGTCAGCAAAGAGTTTTCCCCCTTTCAAGTGGAAACTACAGTGTTTTAAAGCAATAAGCTTGAAATTTCTATTTAAATAAAATAAAACATTTCAAATGTTTTTTTTTTAGCTGCTGCAAACTCAAAGGTACCAAGAGGGAGCTTCAAACTGACCAAAAAAAAAAAAAATGCACAAAAAGCAAATTTGTGACAAACAGCTGTTTGCATGGAGCACATCTGCATATACGTTCATTTTTGTGCCTTCGATCCTTAAGTGTGTACAATAAAGAAGCAACTGAGACAAGGGGAGCAGAAAAGACTGAACATAATTAATAAAAAGTTGAGTTAAAACCAAAAACTGTAACTGATTAGGTACTTGTTGTCTCTGGGTCACACCGCAGAGCTCTCATAGCTGTGGCGTCGTGGCGTCATCCAAGAGAAGACTGCATGGCTTTGTGAGTGGTTGGTAGGTCGCGCTGTGACTCAGACAAGGGTGAGGTGTCTGCACGGCTGCCAGGCCCACAGGGATTAAAGTCAAGTACATCCCCCTAACCCCACCCGTGTCTACCCATGCCCTACAGGGCTAATCACTGCCATTTTGGATCCAGGCAGAAGGAGCAAATTCACTCTTCATCCCTATGGAACATATGAGAAATAAGCCACCAGCTAGGCTGACACACCGGCTCTGCTGAGCTTATTTCCAAGCTGAGTTAATTGAATCAGTCCTGACAAAGACTCAACGCATCCTTCTTTCTAGAGGCAGAATTTTCTTCACAGGCTTATTTTGGGGAAATACATCAATTAACCTGGGAAGTCGTAACTGGTGCGAGCCGTGCAGCTATACTTCTGTGTCTCACTGCGCGCTATGTGAGCCTGTTAATGACTGAAGACTGAGAGGGCTGCCTCGTGCCAAGACCCACATGGCTGCTGGCGGTGCGTTAACTCAGCAGTCAATTTGACTGGAAGTTTGAAATCTGGGCTAGGTTAAGGGATGTGCTGAAGCCGTGTTAATAGCTAGCTTGTTGTCCATATGGTACTGCTTTAATAGAGCACATTTGTTGCAGATGGTGGGAGACTCGGTTAAGCAGAGGCAGCTTTTGGCAGAGGCCGGTTCTTTGAAAGGGCTGCTGAGCTGCCCGCACCGGTTCAGGCCAACTTCGGGATGTCTCTCCTCCAAGTTTCTCTCTCATCAAAGTCCTCCCTTGAATTAGCCAAGCCCTAATTGACAAGGCTTATTATTTGTGCTCAGATAAAAACACTTTTTTTATCCTCGTACTTTGGTCGTTTGCTCTCCAAACCAGACCTTTGCTTTTTAAGTCTGAGTTCGGTTGTTTTTGATCACAGTTCAAAGAGCTGGAACAGCTGAGAAAACACAAAGATACAGAGAGTTAAAACAACAGGAGTTAAGCTAACATAAAGAATTTACCCCGTTAGTTATGCAAATGCTCAATTTTAACAGAATTTCCAAACAATTGTATATTTTTCTTTGACCTTTTGTTTCATTTTTGCATCAAGATGAAAGTGGATTCGTGCAGAATATTGTTTTGGTTGGTGTTTGCCTGCGGTCGGTGCTTTTTGCACTCAGGGAAGTGAGGAGACACGCTTGAGGTGCTCTGCACTGTTTGACGGTTGTTTTCTCACGTTGTCACTGGCCTGGTGCGCTGTGGCATGGTGATGGTATTATGTGCACTGGGGCCGTCTGAGTGGAGAAAAGAGCAGAGCTGCAGTACCCCTGGCTGTGCCACTCCCCGCCTCCCCAGACACCTTATTGTGAGAAAAGTCTCGGCTGAGCCCTCTGGGCCTTGTGGAACCACTGCTTCGCTAAGTGCTGGCCAGACTGAAAGGCACAGTGTCCTTGGGCCCGGCTCATTCTTTCCATTTTCTCAAAGGCTTTGTCTCGTAAGCAGTTCAAGAGAGAGGGGGGAAATGCCAAATTACACCCATGTCATGAAAACTTAAGGTTTTAAGGGTCGACATGTCATTTCTTCATATGTTTTTTTCTGATTGTGGAATATTGTTATTAAAGTTGTATTTCAAAGACAAACGTTTTTCTCATCAACGGTGGTAAAGGCGGCTCCGCAGTTAGGAATGTGCACTCATATTTATCTTTTCAACTTGAAGGTAATGAAACGAAGAAGACAGAGGAGAGATTAAATGTCAAGGTGAAATGTCTTACTATGACGACACTCTCTCTCTCTCTCTCTCTATATATATATATAAATTCACAGTGTTGTGCCCGAACGCGTTCATTGAACGATCGTTTGTGAATTTGTTCGTTTTTTCGCGAACGTGAACTGAACTTGTTCGTATTTTGCCTGACGAACGTAAAAGTGAGTGTTCGTCCTGGCATGCGTCCCCCCTCTCTACTGTCCACTCCTTGTTCCCTACTCTCCATGACTGACGTCAATGTTGTTGTTGTTATTGTTGTTGTTAGCCTCAAGGGCAAAATGCCGATTATCACTTGTAAGTCGCTTTGGACAAAAGCGTCTGCTAAATACATAAACATAAACATAAATGGGTTTATGAACGCGTTCCATCGCCGTTCTAGCTCCAGATCTCCACGGAGTTTTTCCGGAGCTAAAGCCTAGCTAAAACATCCTGTCAACCATAGAGTTTATAACAAGTAGAACCCGCAAATGCGGCCAAACACAGGCAGTAGCGGTTGGTGCGGCGTCCACTCTTCCAGCTCTTTGCTGTGTGCAGGAGTCAAAGTTCATTCAGAAAAACTGAAACGGGACTTAACTGAAAGATTACACATTTTTTAAAGTTTAGCACTTTTAATATTGCACTTTGAGTTTGCTACCTCAGCCTGCTTCCTAAGATTGTTTAATAATTTCCCATAAAAATAATGTTTTCCTCGTGTTATTGAGAATATACTGTAGGTAAAAACTGCAGCTGGGTATGAGTGTGGACTGAACGGGTGCCAGCTGTTGGAAAATTATTCCATAAGATATATATATATATATATATATATATATATATATATATATATATATATTCTTATTTTCATTTTCTTTCTTAGAACTTGTCGTTTACCAGAAGCTGAAGATCTTTAAGGCTTCTTGTGAAATCTGGGAGAAATAGAAATTTTGGCGAGTGATAAATCTTCCTCTGACAAATTTGTTCCGCCAAACCCCTGCTTGTTTTCACCACTTAAAACAAAGCACATGCACGTCCCGATCAATTTTCAGCCAGTCTTAACACAATAAAAGTGTATATTACACAGACCAGCAACATCATGGAAACCTGTTGGAAGTCAATTTTAGCCATGTGTCTCCAGTATTTTGTGGCTGAAGCTTCTGAACGACCCATACAAGCGGTGACATCATGACCACATCCTTTTGCCTCATTGGTGCTACGATTCCCAGCGGCCGGGCTCCTAGAAGCCGCAGCAGCTTCGCCACACATGGGTTGCAGCTGGACCACCGCTGGCTACTCCGAGCAGATTGGATCTGTGGTTACTGAGCTTGGATCCACGCGCGTATATATCTGCACACAGCAGCGGATAAAGGCTGTGTAGAGATCAGTAGGCAGAGTTTATTTGATGCAAACATATCATCAGTGCAAACCGATGTTGTATGCAAATCCAACATCCAAAGAGGTATAATTAATGATGTCAGTTCATAAAGAGAGGATGGGTTCCAAGTCATATTTCTGCTTTAATTAAAGACATAAGATCTTGTATAAGAGGAAGATGTATAATCAGTGTGTGTTTTTTCCTCTTTTCTTTTTTTCTCCCTTCTTCCCATTCTCTCCTTGCTCTTCTTCTTGAATATTCCTCATTTCTCATTAAAAAAAAGTGTTCTCTGTGATTTTTCCTGCCAGAAACCCCACACGCTGACATGGAGGGCTTTCTTCGTAGCAGCTTTTTACTGAGGTTAGTTTCATTTCCGTTGTTGCCATTTAGGATCACAGGTCGGGCAGGGGGGTGGTAGCGGGCTCATGGGGTTAATCCGTCTGACACATAGGTAGCTGTGCACTTTGTCCCACGTGTGAGTGCAACGTTGTGCGCACACGTACATTAAAAGGGGATCCTGAAACATGGATCCTGGCTGCGTGTGTGTGTGCATTTGTGTGTGTGTGTGTGACTGAGAAGCATGCTGACCCTGGTAGCCTTGACTCAGACTGAAAGCACACATCAACAACTTGAGGGTCACACACACACACACACACACACACACACACACACACACACACACACACACACACACACACACACACACACACACACACACACACACACACACACACACACACACACACAATTTGTCTTCACCCCTCCCCTTCCCTCATTTCACAGTTTTACCAGCCTGCAGGTCAGGCTCTCCGTGTCTTTGTACCGCACGGTCTCGTCTGACTGCTCTCCTCATCTGCCCTGTCTTGCTAAACACCCTTATCAGGGATGTTAGGGTGAGGCAACTGCTGGCGCATCTGTGACGTGTTGATACTGTTTCACGTGTTTGTGTTCAACCAAATGTAAAGATTTCCCCTTTTTTAAACAATCTTTGCCCATCTTGTGTTTCTAATTAAACATTTGTGCTGTCATTATACATAGAAGCAAATAAGCAAGCTTATTTACCATTGGCTCCTTTCCTAGTCAGCCACCTTCTCCAGGCTCTAGTGTTGCTCCCTAATTAGGGCTGGCTCATTAAAAGCCACAGCAGCAGCATCTGCCTTTCAAAGCTGCTGTCAGCCAAACTTTACTAAAGCTAATGAATCCTCTTTGATTTCTTTTTCAAAAGGTCACTTATTTGATTAAATTAACAGCATTTTTTTCTCTCTTAGAACTGCTGGGGGCATTTTAAAAAGAAAGGACAATTTGATACCATTACTCCTGCTCGTCAAAACGTCCTTCAGGAATTCAATAGGGAGATGTCTTGCCTGTTAGAAATGATTTTAATTTTCTTTAAAACTTTAACAGATGGAATCCCACATTTATAACCTTAAAAGAAAAAATAGAGGAGAAAAAAAAAGCAAATTTAGTTCTGAAGGCAAATTAAATACTGCTAAATCATCCAGTCTGAGCTCTTTGTTGGACATTTTATTTTCTTAACCATGAGCTGAAAACAGTTCCCCTTTGTCCCAACGCTGGTGCACAGCTAAGAGTCACAACTTTAAATATGTATTTAGAATGTATTCACCATAGCTTGGTATATTTACTGCAGTAAACAAATAAAATGTCTACAGAACTTGTTTTCTTTCATGTTTGAGGCCTTGGCACCAATTTATTTGCTGTGGTGTTGCCACCACGATCCGACAGTCGCAATTCAGGCAGGCAGCATGTTACATCTCTGACAGCCACTGCCATTTCTGCTCTTACGGAGGTGCATGATTGTTAAGTCTCTCCACCTGTCCAAAGCAGTTTGGTGGATAACTAACTGTCCAAAAGAAGATGTGGATCTTGTAAAGGCTGCAGGATGAGTGTGGGACCGTGTAGCAGAGACACAGCAGTTACTTATTTTTAGAAGAAAAAAAATGACCTCAACTTTTTTCTTCTCCATAGATGTGAAAAAAGCATGGTTTGTTCACACAAAAACATGTTATAGCAATACTAATGCGCCTCCTTTTGTCGATGTCAGTTTTAATTAAAGGCTGCAGTAAAAGGACATGCTGCACACTGACTGAAGCTTAGACAATCGGGCCAAGATTAAAGGCAGACAGGGGTTGTCCTTCTGCTTTGATAAGACTTGTGTCCTGAAGTGAGCTGTGTGGTGGGTGAAAATAGACAAAAAAAGGGAATATATCAGTTTGTTCTTCCAATGAGATTCCCAGTTTCTTTCTTTAAAGGTGAGGTTCATTTGGAAACGTTCAATATTTGGTCTTTTTGAAATACGATCGGTCACACTAAGTTTCACATGCAGTCTAAACGTTAAAATAGTCTTCTACTCCTATTTCCTGCGTTAGCCACTGATAAGAAATAGATAGGGAGACTCTCAGGTCAGAAAAAGCCACACAGATCTACTTCACACTGAAAATTAGCAATCATGCACTCACCCATCTGGGCTCTCGACGGAGAAGGCTCTGCTGTTGCCTGTATCAGCCAGGAGGGAGCAGAGCATGTCTTAGTGAGTAGAAGCTAACCGTTAGCGTTACCAACTCTACAACATGGTGGAACTCCTTCAGACTTTAGTCATTTTAGAGGTAAAACATGAACGTCGCAGAGTAAACTGAGACATTGGAAGATAGTTGCATTGCTGTTAGCCATGTATCCGAGGCCAGCTGTCTGAATCTCATGAAAAATCCTGGGGTGTTTCTCAATGCCAAGGAACCTCGCCTTGATGTCTTGGCCCCGGCCCCGTTGCCTAGGAGATACGTCATCGGGAGCTGCCAAGACGTGTTCCAGTGTTCATGTTCTACCGAGGCGTGTGTTCTCCGTTTGTTAGCTGTTTAGCTAGCTGAGCAAGGATACACGGGAGGTGTCTTGTAGCCTAGCCTTGGTCAAAAATTACCCAGAATACACCACGGTATTTTCAAACGGATTGGCGGATCAGAAGCGGGCAACTACTTCGGGGGCAAATTTCAAGTTTAAAAGTGAGTCAGCTAATTAAAAATGTTTTTTTTAGATCCAAAGAAGTTATCTACAGTATTGTTGGTTAGTTTCTTAGTAGTTGCAGCTTCGGTGGCTAGCGGGTAGTAACTCACTTATATTTTTAATTTAATAAACATATACACAATTTCAAAAGTAAAAGGCTCGTTATATATTTATACTGAAACTAATACATATAAAATATAACGTCATCTCCCGTGTCACGTGACGATACGTGACCGCCGTGGAAGCCACGGTCACGTGATGCAAGTCTGTTCCATTTAACCGTTTTCTTTGACCAAGGAAGGACGGTATCCTCGTAAGCAAGGCGCCTGGCCTCGAAAGACATCACCTTGCAAGGCCAAGCGCCTTGACATTGAGAAACATCCCTGCTGTTGTCTGGACCCCACTCCTCCTATTTCTTAAAACAGGAGCCCCAGGGCTTTTTTCCACAGAGAACGACCCATAAGACACTGATTTATAATAGAGAACACAGCTAATTTAGTGAAATAACAAGTGCATGTCCTCTTTAAACAATAGGTCAAACGGGGATTTTTGAATGAACAAATCTGTTAAAATTTCCACCTGTCATTGGCTATTTTATTGCTGCAATTCATATCTGCGTAGCACCAGATGTGGTTTCATTAATGCACTGAGTCATGAGTTTGGCTTTGACTCACGTAGAGTTTTAGTAGTTACAAAAGTGCACATTTTCATTTTAAACAAATGCTTCTCTTAAGGAAAGATATCCTCACAGAAATGAATTGAACTCTGACTCGAGCTTTTGTTTCACTTTCTGGTTCAAACCCTAGTTAAGCAACAGTTTTCGGTGTGTCTTCAACAGACCGTCATTCACGCTTGTTTACTTCTCTTTGTTTATGTGATGTGTTTTCACTTTAGACACGTTTTTATAACACTTTTTTGTCTGCACAGTCATAGTGTGAGAGAAAACGAGGAAGGAACCAAACGCAGATGTGAACAGAGAGAGAGAGAGGGAGAGAGGGAGGGAGGGAGAGAGAGAGAGAGTCTCAGTGGGCAGGACCTCCCCCTGCATTTTCACCATTATTTGATGTAATGAAAGGAGAAAGTGTGTAACATTGAGATTGTTAATTAATTTAGTCTAACAAGATGAAGATAAATGAAACCCACTGAAGGTTGACTGGGCTAAAGGGGCCCACTTAGCATTCCTTCTGCCCTCGAGCCCCTCTTTCTCTTCTCTCTAACAATGGAGCACAGCTGATAGCTGTTGGTACACCAAACTCAACCTGCAACCTGTATCAAATCATTTCATCACTTCTCTGGATTGATCCTTGTCTGTTGACACTTTCTAAACAGACCAAACAGCTTTTGTAATCCAGATACTTTTGGAGTCCAGTCATGCATGTTTGAACATCAGTGTTGACATATAGGAATGTGTTGGTCTTCCTTTTTGTCTTGTGTGTAGTGTCCAAGAAAGGAAATGTTGACTTGACTTAACCAAGTCATGTCAACTAGTTCCTCTGCACCTAATAGTAAATATATGATGTAATGTACATTTACTTTTCAAATAACAACATATGCACTCTACGTTTAAGCAACTTGGTTTAAATAGGTAGTGGCCTGTACTGGTATAGCGCCTTCTAGGGTTCTACAGCTAAATCATGAGTCACAACACAGCCACGGTGGCCCTGGGACATGCTGAGGATGCTGAACACCAGCACCACCAGTCCCTCCGACCACCACCAGCAGGCAAGGTGGCTTAAATGACGTGGCATCACTGAGCAGGACTCGATCCCACAACCATCCGGTTATGAGACGGGCACCTCTGCAACCCTCGTCGGGTTTAGTGCAACCAGTTGACATAACTTGGCTAAATTCAATATTTCATTTCATAGAGTGTAGTTTTAAGTACTTGGAACGCTTCAAGGCATGGAGACACGCTGACTATTGCCGTGTGAATGGCTCTTCTCCAATGTGGCCTGAGGAGGGGCTATTTGAATGGAAACGCATACAAGAATAAGCATAAAGGACATTTTCCTACAAAGCCAGACAGTTGTCTTCATCCGCAAGCAAATCAGCAGTCAATCAAGGTCCTTGCTCAGTGGACACTTTGTACAGGAACTCAAAGGCAGCACAGACCAATCATTATGACACTCATTCTTTGCTCTCTTCATTCTCAAGTCACCCACAATGGGTTGTTGATTGTATGGAAAACACCAGAGCAATTATGTCCTCTGTTTTTGGTGGCAGCGTGGTGTTTTAAACAGGAATCCACCATAATGGCCTCATTATTGTTATTCTTGGAGCAGGCCTCGGGAGGAAGAAGTAGCTGCTCGCGGTACGTCATTATTTTGTAAATTTCGATTAGCTCA